CTTTACATCAATCAGCAAGGATAAGAACAAAAACTCAAGTGACAGGATATTTTGAGAAAGAAGAAAATTTTGTGATTGCTAGTGGGGTTGCAAACTTGTACAACCTCTCTGGAAATCAATCTAATGTTTCCCTAGAGAACTGGGAATAGATCTACTTGAAGAATCAAATATAGCACTCTTGGGCATATATTCAAAGGATGTTGCACTATGCCACAAGAGAACATATCTACTATGTTTATAGCAGCTGTATTTGTGATAGCCAGAAGCTAGAAACAACAGAGATGTCCTACAACAGAAGAATGGAAATAGGAAATGTCATTCATTTTCACAATGGAATACTATTCAGTTATTAAGAAAGAAGACAGCCTAAGTTATGCAGGCAAATGGATGGAATTAGAAAATATCATCCTGAGTGAAGCAACTCAGTCTCAAGAGAACATTGAACATATGTACTCACTAACAAGTAGTTTGTGAGTGTTTTAAACAGTAGCATCAATATTTAGAGGAGAAATTGGTTTGAAATTACCCTTCTTTGTAGATTTTTGTGTAGTTTAGGTTACAGAGAAATATTGTCCTCATAGGATGTGTTTGCCAATGATCTTTCTGTATCTGTTTTGTGAAATCATTTGAGGAATATTGGTATTAGTACTTCTATGGCAGAATGGCAGAATATTCCACCAAAACTATCTTGCAATGGATGTTTAATCATTTTGAAACTTTGAAGCAATGCTTCTATTTGCACACAGTCTATAAATGCCATTTTATAAGGTACATGGCCTTCATATAACTTTGGAAAGTGGTATCTGTCCAGATAATTAGTTATTTCATTATACATTTCCCTGTATTGTGGAATGTAGCCTTTAAATTAAAACACAATGATTCTGGGAATTTATTCCATGAACATTTTTAGGTACACATTTCATTTATTGATTAGCTTTTTTGTATGTTGGCTTTTTGTCTTAAAATTAATCTGGTGAAGGATTTCTATCTTATTCACTGTCTCAGAGAACCAGCCCTACATTTCAATGATTCTTTCTATTGCTTTCTTTCTCTATGTTTGATTTCATCCCTGAATTTGATTATTTTATTCCTTCTGCTCCTTTGTGTGTGTGTTTCTTTCTTCTTCTTCTTTGCCCTATGTTTTTCAGATATACTTTTGAATTGCTAGTATGCAAACTTTCTAAGTTTTTAATGGAGGCATTTAGTGCTTTGAATGACCCACTTAGAAGTGCTTTCATTGTGTCCTATTAATATGGGAAAGTTGAGACTTCATTCTTTTAATTTTTAAATGTCTTTTATTCATTTATTTCTTTCCTACCCAGAGATCATTGAGTATACAGTAGTTCAACTTCCATGAGTGTTTTGGACTTCTGGTCTTTCTGCTCTTGAGAATTCCAGCTTAAACCTGCTGTTGCATAATAAAATACAAGCTATTTGAAGTTTCTTTTGTATAGTGAGGCTTATTTGTGATCCACTACATGGACTATTTTGGAGAAAGTTCTATTTGGTGCTGAGAAGCAGGTATATTATTTAGTGTTTTGGTGAAACTTTTTGTAGATATTGGTTAGGCTCATTTGATTAATAAAAGCATTTAGTTTCATTATTCCTTCATTGAGTTTTCCTCTAGATGACCTGCTGATTGGTGAGGTTAAATCTTGAATTCTCCCACTAATAATGAATGGGGTTCTTTGTGCAGACCAATTTAGCAATATTTCTTGGACAACTGTGGGAACCCTTGTCTTTGGGACATTGAGATTCATAATTGGGAAAAATTAGGTAGATTTTTTTCTTTAATGAGGATGAAATATCCTTCCGTCTATCTGTAGATTAATTTTGCATGAAAATATGTTTTGTTAGATATTAGAATAGCTAATCCAGCTTGTTTCCAGAGTCTGCTTGCTTGGAAAATATTTGATCCAGTGTACATTTGCCTGGAAAACATTATTTCTAGCCCTTTACTCTGAGGTATTGTCTATTTTTATTCCAGAAGTGTGTTTCTTTTATGTAGCAGAGTCATAAGCCTGTTTTAGGATCCATTAATTTGTGTGTTTTTATTGGGAAATTGAATCAATGTTGTTCAGAGATAATAATGACCAGTGATTGTTAATTTCTATCATTTTCACATAGTTTCTCTCTTCCCCCCCCTCCCTACCCATCTCACTCTCTGAGGGTGTGGGTGTGCTTTTGTTTTCTGAGCTTTACATGTTTTGTTTTTGATGGTATAGAATTACTTATTGTCCCTCTCCTCTCTCCATGGGTGTAGTTTCCCTTAATGGAATGGAATTTTGCTTCTAGTATTTTCTGTAGAACAGAATTTGCGGACACATATTGTTTAATTTTGGATTTTTCTTGAAATATTTTGTTTTCTTCATTTATGGAGATTGAGAGTTTTGTTGTGTATAGTACTCTAGGTTGGCATCTGTAGTTTTTTAGAGGTTGCAATATATGTGTTCATACTCTTAAAGATTTAAGGGGCTATTTTGGGAATTTTGGTATAATTCTGATGAGTTTGCCTAGATGTTTTACCTTTCCACTCTAACTCCCCTCTCTTAATAATCTTTCTATGTTCTGTAGAATTAGTGATTTATTTCCTATGCAGTGGAAGGAATTTCATTTCAGATGCTGTTTAATTGGCGTTCAATAAGTTTGTTACATGTCTATAGGCATGTCTTTCATTTATTTGTGAAAGTTTTCTTCTATGATTTCATGGAAAATAATTTCTGTTCCTTGTCTAGAACTCTTCATGTTCATCTATTCCTATGATCTTTAACTTAATCCTTTTCATGGTATCCCAGATTTCTGGTATGTATCTGGTCAGGATATTTTAAATATAAGATATTCTTTCTTTGATGTATCCTATCATGTATCCTCAATGGTTAGTATTTACTGGAGGCAATTGCATGCAAAAATACTATCCAACTACTGAAGCAATGTGTTTCTATATCACAATGTATGCCTAATGAACTCATACACTTTATGAAATAGTACATTCTGTCATCCTTAAGCTGCAATCCTGTTTTACCGAGTTTTTGCCATTGTTGTCCCATGATTCTAAACAATTTTAAGTGTAGTATAATTTTTCCTAAGACAAAAGTATTTGCAGTATAGTTACTATTAATTGAAAAGTAGAAAGAAAATTTGAAATTTCTCTATGAACTAGACCTTCATCTTGCATTTCTGAAATTTCTGAACGTTTGCCTCATTGGCATAGAGCCTTAAAATGTGAGTATCATAGCAAAACGAAAGAGAAAATAAAGAAAAAGAAGCCTATGGAAAATTCCAATTAATCATTGAGACACAATTTAAGATCTTATTAGTACTTTCTGTAGATTGATAATAAATCATATGGGTGAGTTTTGCAGGTAAGCATAATGTCTCTCTTTGTGCTGTACCGTATATTCTTCATAGAAAGTAAATGACAAAGTTTTGGGTAGTAACTATGCTTTTAATATAACACTTTTTCAGCCTCTTATCAGCTCAAAGTTGTCAACATGGATGATATTGTTGGAGGTTGAATTTCAGCTGCTTTCACTGGCAGGTGAAGGTATTAGAATTGGTGCAGTGCTGTCATATTTACATGTGTAGTGTTTTTGATAATTAATCCAAAAGAATTCAACAAACTTTAAAAGGAAACAAATAAGAAAATATAATCATGATTCTCCCTTTAAAACAACTAAATCATGGTATGTTAGAATGGGAAATAGAATCCAAAAGTAATATCTTGTTGGAGACAATAGTGAGATAGGAATTGATTGCCTTGATTCTACTTGTCAGCAGGCAACTGTTTTGTTTACCAACTATCAGAAATAATTTCACCTGGGGTTACCTCACAGACAATGACCATTATTGCAAGTAGAGACTTTTTTTTTTTAATATATAAAGCACCTCAGGCAAAGGTAAAGCAAGCAAAGTGAGAATATCAATTTTAACTATGTTCAGCCTCCATTTTAAATTTCAGAATGTCTGTTAGTTATATAGGAGGTCACTACTGCTACATATCCAGTTCTATATGGAAATACACCGACTTCTGGAAAAACAGAACACCTGAAGGCAGTAAAGGATGTTTTTCCCCTTTTGCATATATAAACTCATGATCTCCAGGAAGTTTTCTGGCAGAAGGCAAGGAGTTGTGATTCCTGCTTTCCACACTTTAGTTTTATCAGGGACATGGAGGAGGATTGGCTGCCAATCAATAAATAGTTGCTTCCAGAAGGTGCAATTTTCATATAAAGTTTTGTGAGTCATTCCAATCTGAAGGAGAAACAAATGATGTGTTCTTCTCAGGTAAATGTGTGCATGGGTATGGGACATGATGACTGTTTTTACAGAAATAACCTCATTATTTTAACATCCAATCTTTCACTGTGCTAACTCACATTAACAGTAACAAAAATCTTTCATATTATTCTCTGTTTTAATTTTTCATAACAAGGTATACAACATATTATTTAATAAATATTTAATTTTATTACATATTAAATTATTTAATAAATGTATAGTACATAAATAATATATTGTATATTAAATTAAATTATAAATACATAATAAATCATTTATATAATAAGACTGAGAGCCTATTGCCATAGGTCTCAGCTTTTCTGCTGCTGCAACTCTTTAATACAATTCTCAGGTTGTATTGACACACACCGTATACTTATTTTCATTGCTGGTTCATAACCATATTGTTGCTACAGCTATGAATCATGCTATGAATTATGTAAATATCTTTGCTTTCTCGTGGCTTAGGAAACCACTGTTAGATCATTTAGGGAATTATGCCATTTGACCATGAAAAATGTCAATATCCACAGGTTAAGAAATGCTAGACTATTGGATTTTTGCAGAGAAGTCAAATATTCTGTCTCTCAGATCATAAGTCATCAAAAATTACTATTAGTTACTGATAACATAAAAATTCACATAGTTAACTAATCCTTTCTTGGGACAAATATAGAACTTAGCCAATAGATATGAAGGCAAATGGTTCATTTTAATTTCAGGGTCTATTGCGATTCATTGATGTGGCTATAGAGTTCTCTAAGGAGGAGTGGGAATGTCTCAATTCTGCTCAGAAGGCTTTGTACAGAGATGTCATGTTGGAGAATTACAATAACCTGGTTTCTGTGGGTAAGAATATCTATATTTCATAATTTCTACTTCACCTAAGAAATTACTAAAACTTCTTTTAATATTTGCATCTGGCCTTCACTAATAATAGGTATTGATTAGTGATATTTACAGTTAATATATTACGTACATTTTTCTTGATTTTACATTTGAACTTAGGATCATTCAATCTTAGTTACTTATTCTTAGGCAGATATTAGCATTAATATGTGAATCCACTTTGACTTCCACAGTTGTCTTTAATCAATGTGATAATTTTAAAAAGGTGTTCAGAATTTTAAACAGAGTTGAGCTAGGACGAGCCTAAAACATTTTAGAAAAAAGTGGCTATAAAAATCATTCATGCCGCCGGGCGGTGGTGGCGCACGCCTTTAATCCCAGCACTTGGGAGGCAGAGATAGGCGGATTTCTGAGTTCGAGGCCAGCCTGGTCTACAGAGTGAGTTCCAAGACTGCCAGAACTACACAGAGAAACCCTGTCTCGAAAAACCAAAAAAAAAAAATCATTCATGCATATTTTAACTCTCCTTCATGTTACATGTATGACACATTCCTATCCAAGTACCCAGATACATTCACTAGTATACTGTTATGTATATTTGAATATACAGGTGTTGCACTTTCAAAACCAGAGGTAATCATCTGTCTTGAAGAAAAAAAAGAGCCCTGGATTGTTGATCAAGAGAAGACAGTAGGACAAGAACAAGGTAATCTGAAAATAAATAATATGTGATGTGATAATTCTAAATCAAGGATCAATCTAGTCCTGAAATGTGGTTATTATTTTACCTTAAATCAATCTTACATACAGATTATTCCTAAGTGTTTCAGAGTAAGTAACAAAAAAATGTAAACCATGGCCGTTATTTGATTTTTGCCTTATATTATCTCAATAGTGGTAGTTTGAAATATAGTATGTAATATCTGTTTTACAAAGTAGAATAAGATTATTCTGTATTTTAATTGCTATCATTATTTTTCAGTTGCACGTATATGAGAAGTATATTTGAATTATTATTATTATTATTATTATTAAAGAATTTTATAAAATATATTTTGCTCATATTTTTCTTTCTTTTCTCTCCACCCCAAGACTATTTCCACTTCTAACACTAATTCAATATCTTAGTTTCTCTGTCTGTTTATGTTCTTCTCTCTCTCTCTCTCTCTCTCTCTCTCTCTCTCTCTCTCTCTCTCTTTCCCTCTGTCACAATCTTACTCTCAAAAGAAAAAAAAATGTGAAAGCCAAAATATGTATTTAAACATAGAATTAGATTTGTACTGATAACTCTTTGTGAAGATAATCCATGAAATATAATTAATAGAACTAATATTACATCATAGATTAAAACTTATTTTCCTGCTCCAAGAAATTATGAACTTTGGATTGGTACTTATATCGTGGGACATTTTCTACACTCTTTCTCCTTTTTAAAGCTGGGGTCTTATCTCACTGAGCATGTCCTGGTCTGTTGAATGTTAACATATTCTCAGTGAGTTTATATAGATAGTAACCTTGTAGTGTCAGTGAATGCTATTTAGCATCATTAATTACATCTGGCCTATACAATTCTTTTGTCTTATGTTTTGTGTTGGTCCATGAGCATTGATAGGAGGGGTGTGAAAAAATAAGTACATAAGACTGAATTCTCCAACGTCTCTCAGTTTCTTCATTTTTCAAGTTGTTAAGCTTTTTTTTCCATGTTAAGCTTTTTTATTGAAGATTGACTGATGCAAAGACCTACTGGAAAGCAATATATTTCTAGGAGTCATATTGTTGTGATTTTTATTTGTAGGATTATTCATATATTTCAATACAGGGCCCAGGACCTGTTTAGTCTTAGATTATTGGCCTCATAAACAGTTTCAATTATGGGTATTAATTTAAAAATCCACCATACTGTCAATAAACCTGTAGTAAATACTGTCAATGCATTTATGGAATAATTTGTACCAGTACGCATATCTTATATGAATATCAACTTCGACATCACAAAATCGATTAATGATAAAGAATAATAATTAATTTTGTCCTCCTAGAGAAAAGTAGCACCTGAAAATACTATGAATACAAGTCAGTAAGAAAGAAATATCTGGTTTAATATTCTACTAAATATTTCTTATGCTTTATGTATATACTTTCTCTGACAGTAGACACCCTCAGATTTGAATGAAAATAAATATGTTTGGAATTACTGTGATATTTCAGTGGAATATAACTCAAAAACTTACAACTCACTGCTTGTAGTATTTGCAATGTGTACAGACATGTGATATGTAGCTTTTCATTGACCATTGTAATTTGTGGCAATGGCATTTAAACTGTCTTTCATAAGCACATATGTTAGGAAGCTTGTGTGACAGTAGTTGTCCATATGGCATTCATAGATGCTTATTAAAAGTTGTGAACCAGAGAAATAGTACAGAATTTAGAGCTGGTTGCATTTTAACATATGAATTGAGTTCAATTTCCAGAAGCCAACTAGTGGAAAACTATACTCTAAAGGATTTGCTGACTACATTTATACCTATGCATACAACACACAAACACACACACACACACACACACACACACACACACACACACACACACATATATATATATATATATATATATATATAATTTTATATTTGTAAAACTTTAAAATTGGACCTAGTATGTTACTACTCTTCTTTATGTTTCCTCTCCTCTATTGTATGCACCATCTCATGGTGTAGTCTTGAGCATATTTCTTTTGTCTTCTGTGAAAAGCAAACAAGTATATTCAGGTCCCTAACTAGCTACACAGATATTCTAAATATAACAGATATAGCCATATCTTAAAAAGCTAAATTAGCCCATGAAATTAAGCTTGCATTGGTTGTTTTCTTACAGTTCCGCATTCATATTGATTGTTCCTATCTTCATCCATTTATCTAAAAATTCCTTAAAACAAAAAGTAATGAAAAATTTCAATGAATTTAAAAACTCTTTAATTTTTTATTTCTTCCTTGACTTAATGGACATTGAATTAAGAATTATTCTGTTTTTCTGTTTTTGAAACCTAGCATTAATTCATGGTGCTATAAAAATATACAAGGGCTTATTTCAGTTTTCTTATATTTAATGATGCATAATATGTGACAAAGTATATGGTCAATTTTGGGGAAGGTCATTGAACTGCTAAGAAGAATATACTTTATTTTGTGTTCGGGTGAAATGTTCTGTACAAGTCTGTTAGGTCCCTGTGATTCATAATGTCTGTTAATTTGTTTTCCTTATGTGTCTATTGCTGAGAGAAGGGTGTTGGAAACTCCCACTATTATTGTGTTGTGTTCATTGTATGTTTGGAGCTTAGTAATGGTTCTTTTATGAATGAGGGTTCATTTGTGGTGTAAAAGTTCAGAATTGAGACTTCACCTGGTAGATTACTCCTGTTATACATATAAAGTGTTCCCCATCTGTTCTGATCATTTTGCTTGAATATCTCTTTAATTAGATATAGGAATGGCTACTCCAGTTTGTTTCTTGTGTTTATTTGCTTAGAACAACTTTTTATCAAGAACTATCCTCTAATGTAATGGTTGTCTTTGTTCCTGAGTTTTGTTTGTTTGTTTTTTATTTTAAACAACAAAATGATGGATCCTGGACACATATCCATACATTTTGTCTGTTGATTTTTTTTAAATTGGGAAATTCCATCCATTTATATTGACAGATATTAGTGAGGAATTATTTTTAATATCTGTCTTTTTTATATAGGTTTGCAATATGTATGTGTGTGCTTACGTATGTCTGTGTGTTTGTTTTAATCTTATTTTGCTTTTCCTGGTGTGAATTATTTATTTCTTGGCTTTCTTGGGGGGTGTATTTACCCTTCTAGTGCTTGAGTTACACTCACACTATTATTTATAGTGTTGGATTAATAGAAATTTTTATTGTATTTGCTTTGCTTATGAATTTTGCTGGCTATTTCTTCGATGGTAAGTTAATGTTTGGGGGTATATAGGTTCTTCTCTGATATCTGCAGTATCATATGTTTAGGCTCTTCCAGCTTTTAGATTATTGGTTGAGAAGTCCGGTGTAATTGTGGTCAGTTCGTCTTTATATGTCTTTTAGCCTTTTTCTCTGGCAGCATTTTGTATTCTTCCTTTTGTAAAGTACGTTTAGTCTTTTGGATATTATACTAGGAGGATTTAATTTTGGATCCAATCTATTTGGTGTTCTGTAAACTTCATGTGTATTTAAACTATATCTTTCGTTAGAATAGAAAGTTTTTCTTTCATTATTTTGTAGTAAATATTTTCTCAGACTTTAAGCTGGGAATTGTCTCTTTCTTCTACTCATATTTTTTTGAGGTTTGGGCTTTTCATACTTTTCCAAATTTTCTGAAAATATGGTGTTAGTAATATTTTAGACTTGGAATTTTCTTTATCCAATTTGTCTTCTTCTATCACATATTCTACATCTGAGATTTTCTCTTGCATATCTGTTATTTGCTTTGTGATACATGTATATAAAATACCTGTTCTCTTCCCTAGGTTAGCCAGTTTCAGTTTTGTTCATTGTTTCTATTTTTCTTGTAAGACTATGAACATGATTATTCATCCATTTTATCCATCTGATTGTATTTTCCTGTATTTCTTAGTGTTTATTTATTTTCTTTTTAAGGACATCTACAAATAGGATTGTATTTTCTAGTACTTTAAGGATTTATTCATTTTCTAAATAATCTCTATCATCTTCACCTCATGAAATTTAAGGCCATTTTCTTGCAAATAAGTTTTGCTAGTTTATACAGGGTTTTCTAATTTATGAAGTGTTTGTAAGTATGTACAGAATTACACAATAGTTATATTTTGTTTTCTTGTTTTGAAATAGTGCCCTGGGCATTGTTGAATATGTTCTTTCCATGGCTTTAGCCATCTGGTTGTTCCTGGTATTGGAATTCCTGGTAGTCACTGATGACTGCAGTCTGTGGGATTTGAGGTAGAGTTGTGTTGCCACTTGTGGGAGCAGCATTCTAGAGTTACTGGCCGAGGAGTTACTGCCTCATGGCTTCAAACTTCTGTTTGCTCAGGAAATGAACTGTCCTCAAGAGATACAGACAAAGGTAGTGATTTCTGATGGCTACAAGAATCTGGGATCACAAGTAGCTATGTGTACTAGAAGATGCATCATGAGATGTATGGGGCAGATCTCTTCTGTTGTACTTGCCAGGGAACCTGTTTTGCAGAGGTTTAGGGAGTGGTGATTTCATATGATTGGGCTGGTTGGCAGCTGGTATCCAAAGATACAGACAGAGCTGTCTACCAAAGAATGATGTGTAGATCAGAGATTCATTAATGTATTTCAAGCAAAGTGTTTGACTTTTTAAATATTACTTTCAGAATATCATACTTTAATTTGAAATATACTTTTATATATGAGTATAGTATAAAAGTTGATTTAATTAAAATATGATATTTAACATGACTAGAATTTCTCAGGATTACAAGGAATTTCTCTGTCAGTGATTTTTCTATATGATTTGAGAACAGTTTTAAATCTTCATGTCTCATGTGCCTCACATGATTTTTGATTAATACACTTAGGATTTTATTATGTTTCTTTCTTAAAAATAATCTTTGTGATGTTAAAACTACTAATTAATCTTTGACTAGGTTTCATTTCTTAAATGACTATTGTAGTTCTTTATTTCTGTCATTGTTTTCTTCAAGTTATTTGAAAGATGATTTGTGTCCATATTAATAATTGAGTGTCAAAATGAAGAGGAAAAATTGCTCTAGAGTGATAGTTAAAAAAATATTGCTTCAAGTACTTTAATATTTTGAATAATTGCTGATGATTTTTGTATATATTTGAAAATTTTTCATGAAATGGGTTTTAAAATTAGAGAGGGATAATATAAAGAATATTAAAGGAATTATTTTCAAGGATCTAACATGTGATAAATTCTTGAATTTCTATTCATGTATATTTCCATATTTTTCAGGCCATAAAGGAGAAGGCACCCAGAGCGCCAGAGTATTTACCCAGTCACCAAATATTCAAGCTCACCAAAGCATCCATAAAAGAGGCAAACCTTGCAATTATAATGAATGTGGAAATTCAGTCAACTGTTCCTCAAGGCTTAAAGTTCACCACAGAAACCATACTGGAAACAAACCTTACAAATGTAATGAATGTGGAAGTTCCTTCACACATTTCTCAAGTCTTAGAGTTCACCACAGAATCCATACAGGAGACAAACCTTACAAATGTAATAAGTGTGGTAAATCATTTACAAATTTCTCAAATTTTCAAGTTCACTACAGAATTCATACTGGTGAGAAACCTTACAAATGTAATGAATGTGGGAAATCCTTTAAACAGTCCTCAGATCTTAAACTTCACTATAGAATCCATACTGGAGACAAACCTTACAAATGTAGTGAATGTGGGAAATCTTTCAGCCAATCCTCAAGTCTTAGAGTTCACCTAAGAATCCATAGAGGAGACAAATCTTACAAATGTTATAAGTGTGGTAAATCATTTACACAGTACTCACATTTTCAAGTTCACTACAGAATCCATACTGGGGAGAAACCTTACAAATGTAATGAATGCGGGAAATCATTCAGCTGTTCCTCAAGTCTTAGAGTTCACCACATAATCCATACAGGAGACAAACCTTACAAATGTAATAAGTGTAGTAAGTCATTTACAGAGTCCAGACAACTTGATATTCACTACAGAATTCATACTGGTGAGAAACCTTACAAATGTAATGAATGTGGGAAATCCTTTAAACAATCCTCAGATCTTAAAATTCACTACAGAATCCATACTGGAGACAAGCCTTACAAATGTAGTAAGTGTGGTAAATCATTTACACAGTCCTCACAACTTAAGGTACACTACAGAATCCATACCGGTGAGAAACCTTACAGATGTAATGAATGTGGGAAATCCTTCACCCGTTCTTCAAGTCTTAAAGATCACCACAGAATCCATACAGGAGACAAACCTTACAAATGTAATAAGTGTGGTAAATCGTTTACAAATTTCTCAAATTTTCAAGTTCACTACAGAATTCATACTGGTGAGAAACCTTACAGTTGTAATGAATGTGGGAAATCCTTCACACATTTCTCAACTCTCAGAGTTCACCACCGAATTCATGTAGGAGACAAACCTTAGAAATACAATAACCATGGTAAATAATTTGCATGGTTCTCACATCTTCAAGGTTACTACAGAATCCATTCTAGAATTGAACACTACAAATATAATGTGGCAAATCTTTTATCTGATATTAATCTCTCTAAGGTCATCAAAGTACCCATACTGGAAAGCAATCTTATAGGTGTAATGAATGCAGGTAATCCTATTCCTTACCCTCAAATTTTCAGTCTCAGCATAGAATCCATACAGGAGACAAACCTGAAAAATGTGGTAGCAGTGGTCATTTATTTCCAAAGTCCTCAACTCTTTAGCTTTATCACTAGAATCCATCCTGGTGACAAACCTTTCAAATATAGTGAATGTTGCAAATCCTTTACTCTGTATTCAAAAATTCATGGTAACCACAGAATCTGTATTGAAAATAAATCATTACCAATGTAAAGAATGTGGAAAATCCTACACTCAGAAATCATATTTGCCAACCAAATTTAGCATTCATACCAGAGTCAAACTTTACAAGTGTCAAGACTATGGCAAATCATGTATCACAAGCTCAATCCTTAGACCATAAACAAGATCCATGCAAGAGACTAAGATGATAGGTAATTAAACTTATAGTACTCATACAGAATTCTGTTATTTACAAGTAGAATTGTATTCATAAGTATTTAAATAATGGTGAAACCTTACTCATTATCAGGGAACTACCAAAGAAAAGACCTACATTTCATTAGGAATTCCAAACATTTTACTTTAAAACAGCTTATATTCATATTAAGTATTTTTTGGAAAAAATGAGAATAAATGTTCACCCAGTAGTAATATGACATCATTAATTAATAATCATATAGAATTTCTGTTCTAACAAATTAAAGAAATAGTATTTAAAAATGCAAGGATTTAATCAAGGAAAATTTTAATTACTATCCTAATTAAAATCAGTTCATTGTGTTCTGTATATTATAGTAGGGTAGAATATTGACATTTGTGAGATAAATTTTATGTGTAGGTTATTGTGTTGTTAGTGTTTGAACTTTTCATAGGCTATATATTATAAGTACTTTTAAAACTCAAACTAATCCCTTCTTTGTCATAATAACCAATAAATATATTACAACTGCCTTCTATAAATCCAGCCTTGGTTTGATTAGTGTTCATTTTACTTTATTCTGGGATGGTACCATTCTTATTCTACATTTACTCATTGATAAAACCAACAGAATCATGTCTCTAAAAATTAATTTAATTACTTTAGAAATGCCAAGACAGAAATTAAGAATTGTATATATCATAAGCAGAGAAAACCTGAAGTTTTCTCAGTGTTTGTGGTGTGTGTGTGTGTTTTATGGTTAATATCACTGTCATTTCACGGAACATAACTTCAAGTATATGAAAAAGTACCAAGTTGACCCATTGTTGGGTGATAAGATTGAGAAATTTAGAGAAAAAATTCTCCGGCACACATTTTGATATTCATTGTATGTGCTGAACATAGTCCACTATACAATTATCCCACATAAAAGTTATATTCAAAACATTTCTTCCTAGAGAAGTATTTTGACACAAGAGTCAGATCTATTATTGGAAACATGTAGAAAATGACAATTTTAGAACAAATTTCTTTTTAAACAAGAAAGAAATACTTTGAATCTTTTAATTGAATAGTAATATTTTCATTAAGGGTGAAAATTGCAGGTGAAGTAAGTATTGATTATTATATCAGTAAGACTTCATAAATAACTTTTTATAAATATAGACAAAAAGAAGTTCATCAAAAATGTAAGCTATACTTAAGGATGAAAATTGCCTGTGCAGTAATTACTAATTTTTTCCCCTTACCCCATCCCCCACCAACCCAGGAACTCCCCATCCTCTTACCCCTCCTCCTTCTTCTCCTTGGATGTAACCCCTTCCTACCCTCCCCACTCCCACTTCCCCACCCTCAAAATTCCCACCCCCTGGGGCGTCCAGCCTTCATGAGATCAAGGATCTCATCTTCCACCTGTGCCCTGCAGGGCCCTCCACTCTTACATATTCAGCTGAAGCCCTGTATCCCTCCATAAGTGCTCCCAGGCTGGTGGTTAGGACCCTGGGAGCTGGGGTTGGTTGGTATTGTTGCTCTCCTCATGGTGCCACAAACCCTTTCAGCATCTTCAGTCCTGACTCTAACTCCTCCATTGAGAACCTCATGATCAGTTCAATGGCTAGTTGTGAGCATCTGCCTCTGAATACGTCAGACTCTTGAAGGCCTCTGAGGAGACATCCATATCAGCCCCTTATCAGCATGCACTTCCTGAATTCCACATCAGCATCTACCTTTGGTGACTGCACATGGGATGGATACTCAGGTGGAAAGGTCTTCAAATGGCCCCTCCTTCAGTTTCTGTCCCTCACTTTGTCTCCATATTTGCTCCCTTGAGTATTTTGTTGCTCCTTCTAAGAAGAACTGAATCACCTCCACTTGGTCTTCCCTTTTTATGAGCTTCATGTGGCCTGTGAGTTGCATCTTGGGCATTTCAAGGTTCTGGGCTAATATCCTCTAATCAGTGAGAGAATACCATGTGTGTTCTTTTGTGATTGGCATGCTTCACTCAGAATGATAATTTCTAGTTCCATCCATTTACCTAGGAACCTCTCGAATTCATTGTTTTTAATTGCTGAGTAATAATCCATTGTATAAATATACCACATTTTTTGAATCCATTCCTCAGGTGAAGGAAATCTGGGTTCTTTCCAGCTCCTGGCTATTATAAATAAAGCTGCTATGAACATACTTGAGCATATGTCCTTGTTATATGTTTGAGCATCTTCTGGGTATATGCCTAGGAGTGGTATAGCTGGATCCTCAGGTAATGCTATGTCCAATTTTCTGAGGAACCGCCAGATTGATTTCCAAAGTGGTTGCACCTTCTTGCAGTCCCACCAACAATGGAGGAGCATTCCTCTTTCTCCACACCCTCGCCAGCATCTACTATCACCTGAGTTTTTAATCTTAGCCATTCTGACTGGTGTGAGATGGAATCTCAGAGTTGTTTTGATTTGCATTTCCCTGATGACTAAGGACACTGAACATTTCTTTAGGTGCTTCTCGGCCATTCGAGTTTCTTCCATTGAAAATTCTTTGTTAAGCTCTATACCCAATTTTTTAATAGGGTAATTTGGTTGTCTGGAGTCTACTTTCTTGAGTTCTTTGTATATATTGGATATTAGCCCTCTATCAGATGTAGGATTGGTAAAGATCTTTTCCCAATTTGTTGGTTGTCGTTTTGTCCTATTGACAGTGTCCTTTGCCTTACAGAAACTTTGCAATTTTATGAAGTCCCATTTGTCAATTCTTGATCTTAGAGCTTATGCCTTTGGTGTTCTGTTCAGGAACTTTTCCCCTGTGCCCAAGTATTCGAGGGTCTTCCCCATCTTCTCTTCTATTAGTTTCAGTGTATATGGTTTTATGTGGAGGACAATTGCCAGCCCAGATTACTATGCCCAGCAAAACTCTCAATTACTATAGATGGTGAAACCAAGATATTCCATGACAAAACCAAATTTGCACAATATCTTCCCACAAACCCAGCACTTCAAAGGATAATTGATGGAAAACGCCAACACAAGGAGGGAAACTACAACCTAGAAAAAGCAAGGAAGTAATCTTCCAACAACCCCAAAAGAAGATAACTATACAAACATAACTTTACCTCTAATAACAAAAATAACAGGAAGCCACAATCATTTTTCCTTAATATCTCTTAACATCAATGGTCTCAATTCCCCAATAAAAAGACGCAGACTATCAGACTGGATACACAAACAAGACCCAGAATTTTGCTGCATACAAGAAACGCACCTCAGTGACAAAGACAGACACTACCTCAGAATAAAAGGGTGGAAAACAATTTTCCAAGCCAATGGTCCCAAGAAACAAGCTGGAGTAGCCATTCTAATATCAAATAAAATCGACTTTCATCCAAAATTAATCAAAAAAGATAAGGAAGGACTCTTCATACTCATCAAAGGAAAAATCTACCAAGGTAAGTACTAATTTATTATATCATTAAGTCTTTATAAATAATATTTTATGAATATAGACAAAAAGAAGTTTATCAAAAATATAAACTGTACTTAGAATTGTGTCTTTCACAATTCCATCCAGAGAGTTTTTGGAACTCCAGGAGAGAACTGTCTTGAAAAATAGCTGTCTAAAATCTGTCTCCAGCAGAACATAGGAAATCAGCCTATAATTCATGATTTGATGTTGAGTAATTCATTCATTATTGCCAGATAACTCTTGCTCAAATTGCCTCTGCAAGCCGAGGCTTCAGTAATTTCCTTACATCCTAAATCCTGTGTCCTTCCTTGTCCCCCCTCATATTTTTCTTTTATCAGATGTACATTTAGGGAAGATCATTTCCAAATCTGTTGGCTGTTGTTTTGTCCTATTGCCAGTGTTCTTTACCTTAGACAAGAATTCATTACACTTTCCTTATGTCTCCTTTGTGTTGGGTAGATTTGAACAACAAATCTACCAATCTACTCAGTCATTGTTGTTCTATTAAGAAGTTGTGTCCTGTATAACTGTATAACAGTATAACTGCATTCAAGGCAATCACATAATTTCACTTCTATTAGACTTAGTGTGTTTAATTTTACATTGAGATTTTGATCTATTTCGAATACAGTTTTATACAGGGTGATAAATATCAATCTATTTAATTCTTCATATTTAGATATCCTGTTAGATCATAACAGTTTAAAGAATATGCTCTCTGAATTTTCCTTTTAATCATACTTTATGTATTATAAGTTTGATAGTGTTGTGTGTTTGTTTTTATTAAATTCTTGAAAACTTTAAATTTCTTTCATTATTTCTTTCCTGAACAAGTGATAATTGGGTACAGAACTGTTCAGTTACCATGATATTGTAATGATTTTGTGGTTGTTGAATTTGTAGCTATAATCCATAGAAGTCTGACAAGATTCAAGGAATTATTTTAACTTGAAGCTTTAGTTGTAAACTACCC